TCGGATGTGGGGGAAAAAAATTAAATGAAATATGATACGATAAAAGAAAATAAATTTCGAGACGGAAGTAATTTAACAATAAAAAAAAAAAAAAAGAAAACGATCGATGCATAATACAATATTAGAAAAAAATAATGATACGAAAAGGCACATTGTTATCGTGAGAAAAACGAAACAGAGGGTCGTCGTTTGATAAAGAAAGGTTTGCTGAACGAGTCTCTGAGTAAAAAACAAAAAAAAAGAAAAGAACAGAAATGAAATGAAAGAAAGAGAGAAAGAAAGAAAAAGAGATATGAAGAGGAAGAAGTATAAACTTTATCTGAAATTACTCTTGAAGATAATATTATGAGTACTTAAAAGATGTCATGGTAGATGGAGAAACGTTGACCACTTGTAATCCGTTGAAGATCGTTCAAATTCGTATCGAATCGGTCGCGGTGTCGAAAATTGCGTCTTGTTCTTAAGAGCAAGTGAGAAAAACAAATTTATATATATATATATATATATATATATATATATATATAAGAGAGAGAGAGAGAAAGAGAGAGAGTATAAGATAGAAATAAAGAGAGAAACAGTGAAAAGATAGAAAGAGAGGGTAACGATACCGCGGTGCGCAAGCTCTCGCACGATCCCTTTGTGTTATTTTCGTGTCGAGAATCGCCGTTCGAAGCTTTAAATAGGATCGAGTTTTCGACGAAGAAGGCAGTTTCTAATACCAATTCTACATGTTGGAGCATCGCACCGTATTCGATGTGAGTAAACAATAACAGGGGGTGGAGGAGGGGAGGTGTTGGTTGGTTGTTAAGTTCGCCGGTTTTAACGTCACAACTATCGGTAATACGATATATATATATATATATATAAATATATATTTAATGTACAAGTATATTATTCTAAATGGTGTTTTAAATCTTCATCGTTGTCGATTTATTATAAATCATTTTTTTTTCTTTTATTTATTTCTATCTATATTTTTCTTTTTTTTCTTTTAGTTTGAAAATTCAAAAAGGTATATATATATATATATATATATATATATATGTGTATAAAGAAGAAACAATAGGATTTACACCTCTCATACAACAGAATAAATACTTACGTTAATCGTTGAATGTACGAAGGATCTTGTAATTGGAGTAGATGTTGGAAAAAATTGTTTGTTTATTTTATCTTTCGATCAAAATGGTTCTATCCTCTTTTGTGTTTTTTTTTTTTTTTATTTTATATGAGAGAAAAAAGAAAGAAAGTAATACGGAGAGAGAGAGAAGATACGTAATCATGTCAATCATGTACAATGGCCGATTTAATGATACGCATCGCGATCATGCGCGCACGTCTACGATTATTTTTAATCGTTTTAAAAGGTACGTTCGTTCGTTCAAATTGGCAGCGAAACTCTCAAATAGAAACCGAGAGAGAGAGAGAGAGAGGGGTTACACCAAGTTCTAAGATTTTCTTTACGTCTTATGTTAGGAGAGTTGTTTCTTCATTCACGGGGTGTTGCGAAAAAGCAAAGAGAATCTTCATCGGTTAGATATATCATTTTAATTCTTTACAATATTTCATTAGTAAAATATTTCATTTTTTGTTTTCCCATGGCGTGATCGAGATCAATAAACATTTGTTGTTTTTTCTTTTTTTTTTTGTATCGTCGTTTAAAGAGAAAAGAAAATATCCAAGATAGTTTAAAATGATTAGAAACAAAGATATTTTTTTTATAGAAAGAACATTATTTCAATTATAAAATAGAAGAATAAACAATATTGTTTTTGTTAGTCACCGTTAAACGAGTATAATCATCTCATCATAATCCCGCGTATTGCAGACTGCGTGATTTTTGAATATCATCGTATTCGATGAGCTTTTTCCGGTATCATCGCCAAAATTGTGCCACCTTCTTGGCAAAGTTTCTCGAAGAGAGAAAGAGAAAGATGTTGGCGATTTTTCATTACTCCAATGTATAGTGACGCGTGTCGAGATTACGATATATTATTATTAACTATTAATGCGTTTACCGCGAACAATCAAAAAACAATAAAAAAAGAACGATATATTATTCGCATAGAAAACGTGTATCTTCTAATCGTAGATAAATTTATTCTCTTTCTATACAAAATTAATAACACACACACACAAATTTATTATCAAATAATATTTTCCTATTCGTGTGTAAAAATGTGTTAATATTTTCTTATTTTTTTTTTCTCCATTAAAATTCAATTAATTTATTAGTATACAATACAAAGTAAAAAGCAAAGTTTAACTTTAAAGATTAAGTTGCTGAAGAAGTCCCAATAAAGGGACGAAACGTCCAACTTAGTTAAATTAAGTTCTACTTCTTTTCATGTCCAAGTTCCCTATGAACCTTTATCATCAAGAATTATAATTTTGGACGAGAGAAAATACTAAATAAATACAATACAATATCCATTAAGCTTCATTTTGTTCGTTCACGAACGTCCATTGTTTTTCCCGCGAGTTTTCAAACGTAACCACGTTCGTTCCTCATGTTCTGAAACACCACGTGGGCTGAAAGCTGTTTTGGCGGCTTGTCCAATCGATTAACCGAGCACGTCGACCTACAAAGAGAGTTCTTTCTTCTTCTACGATCGAAATAAATCATCTCGTTGAATCTTTCTCTCTCTCTCTCTCTTTCTTTCTCTCTCTTTTTCTGTTTCATCCTATTCAATTCGAGGAAATAAATAAGATAAATTTATTCGTAGGATAGAAATCGTAGGTAGATCGTATGCATAAAGTTAGCTTTTTTTATTCTAGTATGCAACAAAAATATTGGGACTGAATTATTCTTCCTCTGTCTCGTTATTTATATATTTTTCTTTTTTTCTTTTAGTATCGTTATATATATATATATGAAAATCAAAAGATAAAGGAAACCTTTTCTCGAAAAATATTTCAAAAAATTGAAATGAACGAAAGAAAAATTGCACTTTTATCTGAACAAAAAGCTACAATAACTATGCTCGGAATGTTTTTCTTTATTACAGGATTAACAATAAATTTGAAGAATACAATATAACGAATGTTTTTGATAATTCTTCTTCAGGTAATTGGATCGAAAAATCTTAAGAAATTTGTAAAGAAAAAGGATCAAACATTAAAATGAACTTAAATTGACAACACAAAAGATATATAAGTGCAGTTACTATTTCAAGAAGAAAATTCTTCTTTCAAGGGGCGGGGTTCTTTTACCACCACCAATGATTGTTACACAGTAACCTTCAAAAAGTCTTCCCCCCACCAGTGTATGCATGCTTTCTAAAAAATACTTCTTCCTTGTATATATTTAAATAACAAGAGTAGAAGGATATCTGTTCAGTTCTTTTTAACAGTGCACGATAGATCGTATCTCTCGTGGATCTGCAAGAAAACATCTTATTTTTGTTTGTTTCTTTCTTTTTTCTCTTTGAAAAATATACTAATTTAATATGGGACCAAATAAATATGCACTACGCGTGAGTTTGTTAATTTATTTGGTGAAATTTAATTGGGAAGAAATTTTTCAGTGCGATATACAACGTTTCGAAAGAATAATTTACGTTTTATATTCTATATTATATTATATATTCTTTTTTTTTTTATTTTGTATCATTATATAGAAGAATTAGGAAAGATGTCAAATCTTCTAATCACTCGTTTCATATTTATTATTATTATTCCAAAGTAAAAAATCATATAAATTACATTATTTTCCAGATGCCATTGCATTGCATCACCAACCCGTTACAACGGGAACTGGCCGACGCTATTATAAGGTTACAACCGCTGGATGAAATTCGGATACTTCTTGCATGTGGTGCAAGGCCAAATGAGCCTGTAACTCAAGGTCTAAGACCGTTACATTATGCAGTGTGGCAGAGGTACATTGATGCAGCACAATTACTTTTGGTTCGTGGTGCTGATATCGACGCAACCGACGAATGCGGATATTCCGCATTGCATCTAGCTGCTGAACATGGTTTTCTCGATCTCGTTAAACTTCTATTAAAATATGGTGCCAAGGTGGATCATAGAAAAGACACCGGGGAATTATTTCCTAGGTAAATCTCAAATTCTTATCTTTTTTAAATTAAATTAAATTAAATTAAATTAATATTAATTTGTGTAATAATAATAATTAGAAATATTAACTTATGTTTAAATTAATATTTCCAATAAGTAAATTTTACAAAAACAATCCCATTGTACAGTTTCAAAGTAAAGTTTCAATATAACTTTTGATTCGTCTTAATATCATACACATTACTTCAATTATTATAATCTGTATTTATTTATTTATAACAATATAAATTACATCTAACGATAAACTATATATGGTTCGGGGTTATATTTAATATAGATTTATATATTTGTTACGATGGAATCCATTGATCGTAAGCCAATAACGAGTCTCGTATCGATCAATCGTCACGTTAACGATTGAATAATATGATTGTAAAAATAATATCATATGTATTGACTCTCTTTTAAAACTGTCCTCCTTATTGTGTTACATATATATGTTGTTATCCCATAGGACTATGATGTGCGACGAGCCGTTACGATTAGCCTTGAGAAATCGTCACGTAGAAGTGGCTAGGACTTTGTTGGAAGCTGGCGCAAATCCAAACAAGAGATATTTCTTCGGTTCCGAGATTAATTTGGTATCACCCTTGGATCTGGAGTGTATGGAACTTTTATTGGCGTTTGGTGCACAACCCAATATGAGGGATCGTGCTGGATTAACTCCTTTAATGAAAGCAGCAAGATCACCCCAAGTAAGAAATATATAAATGATCTAATCAAATAATAATAATAATAATAATTAATTGTTATTATTATCAGGGTGTTGCTACGGTATTACTGTTGTTGAGTTACGGAGCGGATGTTAATTCCATGGCCGATTCGAGGCACGATTATCGAACGGTTCTGCATTATGCGATACTTGGTGGTGATCCAGCGGTCATCAATCTTTTGTTGAAACAGGGTGCAAGGTTATCTCTTGGACCTGATTATCAAAAACCAACCGCATTAGATTTAGCTATACTCAAGGGTGATCCTTCGATCGTTGAGATGTTATTAGAGTCCGGTAAGTATCGTCGATCTTTATAATTTTTATTAATAATTAACTAAATAATTCTAACATAACAATATCTTTTTCTTCTATTATATCATATCGATGTGATATATAACGTACGTATAATTTATCTTAATTATAAGATATACATTTACACGTTGTTACAGTTAATAAGTATACAAAAATATATTATTGTTTTTTTGTGTGTTTGTGTAGATAAATAAAAATAATATTTATTTTAGGTGCTGACGTTAATGCAACATCTCCGATCATCGGATCAGCCCTTCACGTTGCCTGTGCGGACAACATACCCAATAGATTACAAATTCTTCAAATGTTGTTGGAACGTGGCGCTGATCCTAATCTCGTAATACGCAGCGACGAAGGTTTTTCATTGCGTCCAGTTTTAGCAGAATACGTGGCATCCAACGAAAATCCATCTGTCGAAGTTGTCGCACTTTTGTTAAAATACGGTGCCAGAGTTGTCATAAAGACTCAATTTCGTGATCCACACGGTATATTAAATTCACTACAAAATACCGCAGACAAACCTAGATTATTAAGGGCACTTTTAGAAGCAGCGGAAAGTTTCGATCCTTGTATGATCAAAAGATCAAGTAGTTTGACCGATGCTCAAAAGGCTCTGGTAATGGAAGCTGCGAGAACACCCTTACCATTGACCCATCAAGCTAGGCTCATAGTTCGCAGATTATGCGGCACGAAATTACCAAAAATCGTATGGAATCTTCAATTACCGCAATCGTTACATCGATATCTTCTTTACGATTTTCATTAGCCTTTTTTTTTCCTCATTTTTAATTCGTTATTGGGGGCGCGGGGAGGGGTTTTGGGGATGGAGCAACAACAACGATTAAGTTGCTTGACCAAAACATAAAACAACAATTATATTCGCTAAGCCATTATCATTTCGCAAAATTATTTTTCAACGAATATCTTCGTAATCTCATCGATCTTTGTATTTATCATTGCACAGTATTTCATTTATTTATATTTTTTGTTGTTGTCATTAGCACAATTTTGGCACAAAAGCTAAATGGAATCGATAAAAAGAAAAGAACAAAATAATAATGAACATTTTAACTCTCTTTCTTCAAACAAAATTAATAATAAAGTTTTTATCACTGTCGTGAGATCTCAACGTGGTGCACGTGTATTTCATGCGTCTTTGAATTTACCTGATTCGTGTATATGACGAATCATAATGAAGAACGCGCGATAGTTCGAATATTAAGTATTATACGTGCGTTATAAAAGTTTAGGAATTGATTCGGTACTTTTGCAAAATTATTATTCTATTTTTTTTATAATCTAAGTTTTACCGATTAACTCTAGTATTATTATAGTTCGTTTCGTACGAGATAATCTCGAAGGTCGGTGTTTTTTTTTTCTCGAGATCGACCAAATCTTTATTAGATATTATTATTATTGTTATTAATATCGTTTTAAACACAACGATGACAACGATATATATATATTGTATAAAGAAAAAAAAAAGGGGACAGGGGAGGAAAGAAAGAAAATATGTGTGTGTTAAAGATATCTAAGAATTTCATACGTTAAGAGATATTTAATTTTGTACCTTTGTACACGAAGAAGAACAAGAATAAGTTAGCACACGTGCGTGCACATACAGAGATACACCCATACAGTGTTATTGATAAATAAAGAAGATAATGTAAAAAAAGAAAAAAAAAAGGAAAAAAAAAGAACATTCGCTTTATCTTTTCTATTTCGTTTAAAGAAAAAGAAAGGAAATTAAAATGAGAAAATAAAAAGAATAAAAAATAAAATATAAAAAGAGATAATGGAACTCGAAAAAAGCAGATAAGATACAAAGCACTGATCATCGAAACAACTGATATTTGGTTCCTATCCCGTGAAGAACTTTGAAAGTATTACTTGAACAACAACCATACTTTCCAATCGAATATTTCGAGCCACGGGATTAGGATGCGTAGAATGTTGGCCGGTTAAGAACGACGATGATACCATCGTATTTCTATCCTCGAAATAGCAGCCTCAATACCGTCACTTACGTCAAACTTTTGGCAATCGTTTTCGCCCGTGAAGAAATTTGAACTTGAAATGACAATAATCGTCTTTGTCCTTTGCAAATAAAATACGAATGTGAAGGATGATCAAGGCTGTGATCCTTGGTCTCTGTGTGTGTAATGCAATTTTTAAAAAGCATTAGATATACATATATATATACACACATATATATATATATATATATATGTATTTCTTATTTATTTATTATACGTAAATGAAATTAAATTGATAATGTATTTTTAAATCGTATTGAAAATTACTTAAAACTTTACAATCTTGGTATTGGAACTTTTAGAGAATTACGAGTAGCATCGAAAAGTATTTGATGAATTCGTAATTTGGCTAGCTGCATCTGACCGCTATCTTTCATATTTCGTAATTCTTCTGCGACAAAATTGCCAAACGCAGTAAAAGTGTCTTTCTCTTGAACACCGTCTATCGTTGATGCTTTTATTAATCGTAATCGTGTATCATTCGGATCCTTACATTTTTGACGCTTACTGCTATTAGATGATACATCGAGATGATTTGATTCAACGTTGGAATTTCTTTTTAATATTTTACCAGGCGATTGTTTTTTTTCAAAAACTTGTATTGATTGTAAACTGTAATCCAAAGTAACTTCGCCTGGTTCCAATGGTGTTAAAGTACTGTTCTCGCTGTCGTAATAAAAAACATTTTGAATTTCCTGTAATTGGGACGGAAACAAAAAAACAGGTGACGTAAGAATATTATTATAAAGAAACGTTAATTGTTTTAAATATAAAATATTATTGTAACCGGTACGCTTAGATCCAAATCCTTTTGAGATTGTTGATGCCTTTGTTGTTGATGAGTTTCTTGTTGCGATTTCGTATGATCTTGATGAAATTGTTGTTGATTTTGTTGACTGGCATGTTGCTGCTGCTGTTGTTGAGTACAGTTTTCCGCTTTAACTGGATTTATCGGTATCAGTGATTTTTTAGTAACGTCATCCTTAAGGAACATCAATAAATCCAATGCGAACCATTGTGGTTTTCTGACTAAAAACGTGTTGTTCGGTCCTGCGTTTAACTTGGCATAATTCCATCTACGATATTCCTTGCGAAATGAACTACGAAGCATGTATAATTTTTTTTCAACGTCCGCCAAAGAACAATTGAAATGATTCGCCATTTCTGTAAGTGCCTCGCGACGGAAACGTCGATTTTTGTAAAATTCATGGCTCGTATCCCAAAGACATTTTCTTTCTTTGTACATTTGTATCAATGTTGTTGTATTATTTTGATCCCATTCTGGTATTCCTTCTTGCGCGGTCAAACCGGTGCTTGGAATTCCATTTGTTACGGACATTGTTTATGCTTTTAGGTTTTTTTTTGTTAAGTTCTTGATTTATTTTTTAAACACTTTATCGAATGAAATAAACAATATGGGATGGTCCTCTTGTTTTGAGTTTTTTTACTCGGAGAAATAAAGAATTTGCGTTAGCATAGAACATTAAATAATACAACTCCAAACAATATCGGAGTATTCCCATAGAAACCGAGTTGATTGGCTTTCAATATTATTATTTTAAACAAAAATAATTGATTACGTGTAAATCGATATCGAAAAATCTCGCGTTAAATCGAGATTTGTTAAAATTTAATTTCGCGATTTTTACGCGTCTTATTTGTTTTCTTAGTTTCTAATTTGTTTTTGTTACGATTTTGTTTATGTTATATTTGTATCTTAGATAATTCCGTGATTTTAGCAATCAAATTATTATTATTATCGAAAGTATTTGTACATACTTATAATGATTGTTAGAAAATCTGTTGCAATATCTAAAGAAATTGTGTGTATTTCTCGAAATAGTGTTAGCAAATATTTTCGTACGTAAGTATTTTCGAAATAATCTTGTTTTTTGTTGATATTCTTCTTATATTTATATATATATATATATATGCATATATACTGTATAGCCGTGCTCACAAATGGGTGCCAGATCCAGAGTTTTTCTCAAAAACAGATGCTCCGAAAGCTATACCGATTGATCCTGTAAATTGGCCATATCCAGATGGATATCCTGATTTGGATCAAAAGCCACGTGTAGAAATAAAAAATGTACAAATTAATTTTGGTCCTCAGCATCCTTCTGCTCATGGAGCTTTACGTTTGATATTGGAATTGGAAGGTGAAATTGTCCTTAAAGTTGATCCACATATTGGACTTTTACATCGTGGTACAGAGAAATTAATGGAACATAAAACGTATTTGCAAAATTTACCTTATTTTGATCGTTTGGATTATATTTCAATGATGTGCAATGAACAATGTTACAGTTTAGCTGTAGAAAAGTTGTTGAACATAGATGTACCAATACGTGCCAAATACATTAGAGGTTGATATTAATTTATTCATTAATTGATACAGTCCGATTTTATAAATACATGGGAAAAACTGTAAATTACTATTTTTATTTTTTTTTATTACAGTACTCTTTGGAGAAATAACGCGAATTTTTAGTCATATTATGTCAGTTTCAACGCAAGCAATCGATTTAGGAGCAATAACTCCTCTTTTCTGGTTATTCGAAGAGCGTGAAAAAATAATGGAATTTTTTGAAAGAGTTAGCGGTGCACGTATGTTCGGAGCATATGTACGCCCAGGTGGTGTTGCTTTGGATTTACCTTTGGGTTTATTAGATGATATTCATCAATGGGCTAGTGTTTATTCAGAAAGACTTGACGAAGTAGAAGATTTATTGACAGAGAATCGGATTTTTAAACAACGCTTGAAGGACATCGGTGGAATTACAGCTAAAGATGCATTAAATTTTGGATGCAGTGGAGTTATGTTGCGCGCAGCTGGTATCGAATGGGATTTGAGAAAAGTTGCACCATATGATGTTTATGAATTAATTGATTTTGATGTACCTGTGGGTATAAATGGAGATTGTTATGATAGGTAATATAGTAATATTATAATTGTATTGTTTTTAATTTTTAAAAGTGATTTGTATTTTTATATTATATATATATCATCATATAGATATTGCATTCGGATGCATGAAATGCGTCAATCTCTTAGAATAATTGATCAATGCTTAAATCAAATGCCTCCTGGTGAAGTGAATTGTGATGATGTGAAAATAGTACCGCCAAGGAGGAAAGAAATGAAAACAACTATGGAAGCACTTATCCATCATTTCAAATTATATTCGGAAGGATTTTGTGTACCACCAGGTGCTACATACACATCCATAGAAGCACCAAAGGGTGAATTTGGAGTTTATCTTATTAGCGATGGTAGTAATAAACCATACAGATGTAAACTTAGAAGTCCTGGCTTTCCTCATTTGGCAGTATTGAAATTTATGGGACCTGGTTATTTGCTCTCAGACATTCCCGCTATTCTTGGTTCCATAGACATAGTATTTGGTGACATAGATAGATGATATTACTAATCATGATAATAAGTAAGTAATTCTATTATATTCTTAAAATATGTATTCTAACATTTGAAATTAGTCATTTTTTATTAGTATTCAAATATTTGACAAATGATATTCTATGCTTTAATGAGATGCTCTTATAATTTAATGAGTTTTAATTGATGAATTTAATAAATGTTAACTCTAATACATAAAAGCTACTTTTCTTTCTGTCAGTATATCATTTATATCAAATTAATAAATAATTCTTTACAAATATATAAAATATATAAAAACACGTGATGGAGTTTACAAGTGTCAATATTTATATTTGCATCTTCTATCGTAGCGTTCTTTTATATCGTGTTAATTTAAATATTAATTTAATGAGTAATTTTAATACAAAATTATTCTGTAATCGAATTGAATAAAAATTTCAAATAAATATAGGTATTTATTAAATTTTTATCGATCGTACAATTAGCTCGAAGATGTCGTCTATGTTCGTTTAGGTTCGGTTATATTCGTTTAGATTCGGTTATGTTCGGGAGTTGCAGAACAACTACATTAGACTAGTTTTGCATCATGGCGGCTGGAGTGTTAAGAACGGTCTTACGAAAATCTTTAAGATCTTTTAACGATTCAACATTTCTTGTGCGAAATGGAGCTCAAGTATATCATGCTACGTAAGTTTTACAAAGCCTTGTTTCTTTTCTTTTTTATTTGTAGGTTAATGTAATACAAGTTATTATAATATGTTTACATAACACTACTTATTTTATTTATATATATATATTTTGTGCTTAACTTTTTAGTTGATGTCATTAGAACAATATATAATAATAAAACAATTGTTTCTAGACAACATCGATGTGCTCACAAATGGGTGCCAGATCCAGAGTATTTCTCAAAAACAGATGCTCCAAAGGCTATACCGATTGATCCTGTAAATTGGCCATATCCAGATGGATATCCTGATTTGGTTGAACAGCCAAGTGCACAAGTAAAAAATGTACAAATTAATTTTGGACCTCAACATCCTGCTGCTCATGGAGTATTACGTTTGATATTAGAATTGGAAGGTGAAGAGATCCTTAGAGCCGATCCACATATTGGTCTTTTGCATCGTGCTACAGAAAAGCTTATAGAATATAAAACCTACATGCAAGCTTTACCTTACTTTGATCGCTTGGATTATGTTTCCATGATGTGTAACGAACAATGTTTCTCTTTAGCAATTGAGAAACTATTAAATATAGATGTACCTATACGTGCTAAATATATTCGAGGTGTGTGTTTAATATTGAGAAAGTTAACGATATAGAAAAGTTCTATCTATCTATATATATATGCTAATAATGAATGTTTTTGATTACAGTATTATTTGCGGAACTTACTCGTATTTTAAATCATATTATGGGAATCGGAACCCACGCACTGGATGTTGGTGCTATGACTCCATTCTTTTGGTTATTTGAAGAACGAGAAAAATTAATGGAATTTTATGAACGAGTTAGTGGAGCTCGTATGCATGCCGCTTATATACGACCTGGTGGAGTATCTTTGGATCTTCCATTAGGTTTATTAGATGATATTCATGAATGGGCTTCACAATATGGAGAAAGACTCGATGAAGTTGAAGACATGTTGACAGATAACAGAATATGGATACAGCGTACTAAGGATATTGGTGTAGTTTCAGCGCACGATGCATTAAATATGGGCTTCAGTGGAGTAATGTTAAGAGGATCTGGAATTAAATGGGATTTAAGAAAAGTAGCACCATATGATGCATACGATTTAATAGATTTTGATGTTCCTATTGGCATTAATGGGGATTGTTACGACAGGTAATGTATATAATAGTTAAATAAATCTAAATCCATTTGAGTGATTTTTGTATATTTATCAAATAATTTTTATTTCAAACTAGGTATCTGCTACGTGTTGAAGAAATGCGTCAATCTCTTAAAATAATCGAGCAATGTTTAAATAAGATGCCAGCAGGTGAAGTGAGATGCGACGATGCAAAAATTGTTCCACCTCGTCGAGAAGAAATGAAAACTAGTATGGAGGCTCTAATTCATCATTTTAAATTATTCACGCAAGGCTTCCAGGTACCACCCGGTGCTACATATACAGCTATTGAAGCACCCAAGGGTGAATTTGGAGTTTATCTTGTCAGCGATGGTAGTAGTAAACCATACAGGTGTAAAATCAAGGCTCCTGGATTTGCACACTTAGCTTCTTTGAAACATATTGGACCAGGTCATTTGCTTGCTGATATTGTTGCTATTATTGGTACTTTGGATGTAGTATTTGGTGAAATCGATAGATAAAATGTTGATCATTTAGTAGTAGGTAGGTAACTAAACATATTATAATTACTGTGTTAATGAGAAAGCTCATTAATCATGTGGTAATAATAAATAAAGAGTATTTAACCACGTGTAAAGACAAACATAAGTGATAAATATTTTATTGTAGATCATTTTTACAAGATCATTTATTAGTACACATGTATATTAAACATATAAATAGATTTTATTTATATCCTTTTGGTTTAGTAAGTGGTCTTGAGATTGTATTATTAAACATTTAATATTTATAATTGTCTTTTCATAATTTTGTTTCTTAACAGCATTATTATATAAATGAGTAAAGAAATGATACGGAAATTTAACAAGTTCTTAAATATAATAAATATTTATTATGATTTCTTGTAATTTCATACAATGAGAAATAAACAGAATTACTGAACGAGTTATATTTCAAAATAAGATGATTAAAATTGTATTTATATATGCGTTTCACGTTAATGCTGTTAAAGAAACAAGCTATACGAAAATACGAAACTTCTTATTTATATGTACGTTCGTAATGGGAAAAAATTTTAAATCTATGGCTTACGTGACCGATCTATAACGAAAACGTGTGACGTTTGAAAATTTTCATCAATACTTATACGACGTGGAATCAAAATTTGTCGCGTTTGTTTTACACAAATAAAATATTTCGATTTTATAATTAATTTTTTGTTTAAATGTATCCATAAAATTCGAGCTACATATTTAATATGAATTAAATTTTCTATAAAAATCAACGAAGGGACAACAACAACAACAACAACCACAATGGTGGTCATAACACGAATGGCATTGGTAAGGAGCCACTACGTGGTCAGCATTTTAATTTCGGCTACGTTCCTTAATCTTGCACAATAATCTTGCGTTATATTGTGAACGTTTTGAACTTCGATGATCGTTAAAAAAATAAAACTTAATAATAGGAAATAAAATTCTTATAATAATATCCTTTTTTTATCTAATATGTTTATTTGATTTGTTATATTTTAATTGTATTTCTCTCTTTCTTACAAAATATGTTGAAATAATATTTCTTAATTTGTTTTATTTGATAAAAAATAATAGATCCATTTATTTGTTCTTTTTTCTTTTCTTTCTTTTGCAATGTAAATTTCAAGTAAATAAATTAAAGTTTATGGTGTACAAAATATATAAAAATATATATTTTGATTAAAAAAACAAAATATTCACATAGTAAGCGTTGTAATAATACTTGGCATGAATTTCGTGAACTAGTAACATTTGACATTCGAATCTCGTTTAAGTTTACTACATGGTGGTCTTTAATACGGTCTTACGATGTAAAGGAAATCGCATTTACAACATCAATGATATTGACACGAATAACATTAATGATTTTAAATAATCAGTTATAAATTCGATTGCATGGTTCCATATAGTGTATCAGTATTTGGAACATTATGTTCATGTTCTACAGAATAAATTTTTTAATTTAAATTTATTTTGATTATTATGTTATATAATAATCGACTTAATATATTATTACTATTATTATTATAATATTACATCATTATTCTAAATAGACTACTTTTAATTTATTTTTATTTCACTTCTTTATGTATATGTATATAATATATATTTTTGTGTGTGGTAATATTTCAGTCAATTTTAATTTTTAATCGTCACGTTATAAGAGAACGTTTTATGGAATATATTTAATATAACATAATTCATTTCGAGCATTCTATTTCTGATGTAACATTCTCGTTTGCCTTATTTCCATTATAAAATTACTACAAGAATTATGTTAATTCGTCGAGTGTGATTGCAGCAGCATCGTTTAGAAATATACTTTGCGGTTAACATTTTAAACTTGGTGAAAGATTCTTTTAATTAAACGTAATATAATAATAATAAAGAAAGTGGGTCGTTCTCACTAATATTTTTCATTGTCTTTACGTTTCTCATTTAACGCACTTACTACTATTATTAAAAATAATATATGTTACTAGAAAAATAATACAAAAATGTATATAAATAATAGTTTAATCGAATTGTTATGTGTAATACAATTATGTATTATCGAAGGAACAGAGACCAAAAAGAAAATGGCATTGTTTGAAAATTCTTCTCTTCTTACGAAATAACGCGGAAGAAATTAAAATAGAAGAGATATTCTATTAAAAGAGATATTTATTAAAAAAAAAACGCGTTATAAGTTAATAAATTAATCTTATGAAATATTAATTAAATTAGTATTTTAATGGTCACAATAATTTAAACAGTCAATCGATGTCGTAATACTCATTTGTAATTGTAATATTTTTTAATAACATTAATCCTTCATCGAACGCGGAATTTTTGGTTCTTTTTTCTTTAATTTTTTTAAATCTTTTATTACATTTCTTATTAGGTCAAAGATGACGATAACAAAATTTGCAATACTCTAGAATGATTTCTTTTCATCTCTCGATAGATTTTATTTCAATGATATTATTTATTATGAATATTAATAGTCATGTTGTTATGTCTTGCGTAGATCCAATTGAATTGTTTATTGTAATTGTTAATTAATCAAACTTCTTTCTATCACCTTTTTTATTTTTGATATTATTTTCCATTTTATTTTTTCTTTTCTAATCATTACGATGGAATGAAACTCTTTACGTTTTATTCGATGTACAGATAACTTTATCATTGAATTGTTTTTGTTATATTTCTTACTATATTTCTTTTTATCAATCGTTTAATTTTTTTTTCGTTTACATTATTCTTCCCTTTTTAATTTCAAGGTTTATTCGAGGTAAACCATTTTATGTCCAGGTATGCCAATCGGGTTTGAGTCTCCAAGACCAGTAAAAGAAATCAATGACTTACATGTTACTATACCGGGTGACCTCGACGATGTAATTCATTTTGTACTATGTAATACATTTTGAACGATATATAATATCCATCAGTTCTCGTATTTTCTTACGCTCTTATATTCTTTCTTTAAACAATGTTTACTTTCTTTTCCAACATTTGATATTAATAACAAATTATCCAACGACAAATTAAATTTATTAAATATTTCACAAGGTACGAAAGTGATAAAGAATATTTTTTCGTCGATAAAAATCGATAGTTTATCGATCGAATTATTTGTCAATCGTTAAAATTTTCTTAAAGTTAATTTAAATTTAAAATTAAACAAATTTCACGAATATTTAAAAAATTGTTACGTATCTTTTTCTTTTTTGTAATGTTATCTTTTTTTTTTTCATAATAAATTAAAATCAATTTTTTACGCGATTGGTAGATTCCAAGAAATATTATTTTCCATCGGAATAATAATTAAGCGAATGAATGGTAAGAAAAAAATTTGACATTATCGACACATCGAGACGATAATTGTTATTGTAAAAATAATAATAATAAAAAAAAAAAAAAATAGAATAAAAATATGCATACTACGTATATACGTACAATCGTTAGTTTAATGATATAAAGTATTACGATGAGTTGGATAAAATAACTCTTTTTATTTCTTCTTTCGATACGTCTTTTTTTTTTCTTTTCATTTAAGAAAATTACATTGTAAATGTTTAACAACGAGAAAAGATGTAAATTTAAAAAACCGACGTTTAAAAAAAAAAAAAGTGAAACTTCTATCCTCTCTTGACCTTTATTGATAATGACGATTTACAAAAAATTTACGATTTATTTGATCCGACGCGTATTTTTCTTTATTTTTTGTACCTTTTTTACGATTGATTGTTCAATTAAAAACTTGTTTACCTCAAACAAACAGAAAAGAAGAAGAAGAAGAAGAAGAAAAAAAAGAAGAAGAAGAAAAAACAAATTGAAAAACTTAATTTCCATATTAAATTCGCTTCTAAAAATCATCGTATCTTTGTATACGTGTATGCGTGTGTATAATATCCAAGTATAGTTATTGGTATTGTTATTTAATCAATCATGAGACTAATTTGAAATTTTAAATGAAATAATAATGAAACAGGAAGAAGGAAGGGGATTTTCCTTATCGATCGATTGTTTTATTAGATTATTATGTATGATGAAAAGCTCTTTACATTATTATGATTAATTTCAATTAGAATAATTGTTTCATCATTTCGTGCATTAATTTAATGCTTAATAATTATACAAATGTGTGGATAAATAATCGAAAAGAATTTTGTTAGTTTAAAATAGTTTTATAAAAAACGTTTTGACGTAAATAACATATAAGATGACAGGTAACGAGTGGAACATTCAAACATCTAATTAAAAAAAAAAAAAAAAAGTAGTATTATTATACTTGCTTACACTTAACTGGATGAGAGTGTATTCTATTGGCACACAAGTTGCCATGTAGAAACTCCTTGTACTTTGTATTCTTTACGTTTAACGTTCGGCCATATTTCTGACGTAAATGTTGCTACGTGGAAAAAAAGTTAGATAGGATTATAAGAGAACCGAATAAGACAAAATAAGAGAAGGAATATAATTTGTGGTTATTTATACCAGGAAATGAAATATCGTATAGTGTTGACCATAAGGACGCGTGTTTATAAATATATATAAGCATGGTCATGAATGTTTTTTTTAATTTCTCTCTTGTTAATTAATTATAATTTAATATTTCTTGTTGTTCTATTTATAATTCATTCTTATCGTTTTAATTGTTATTCCGTTTGCAATTAATTTCCAAGATATATTAAGATATTTTCATCAGGGGGAATCTCTCTCAAAGTGAGAGTTTTCCCATAACATAATAATTCCGGACGTTACGTCATCATCGATGAAAGTTAGATTATAATTGTTACCACCAGAATCGAAATTTGTTATCTTTGTCCTTTAAGTTTTTCTCTTTTCTTTTTTAAGTTACGAATATATCATTATTAATTCGTTTGTCGTAAAAATTGCGAGAAAAGAAAATGATGGATAATAATTGAAAATTATAAACGAAACGTGTTACGGTGTATTTAATTTAAAATCTTATTATATGCATTTGATTTCTTCTGTTACATTATATTGATAAAATAATTATATCGTTTTTCATTTCTTTGATTTTTATTTTTTTAGTAGACGTTCATAAGTTCAATATCATAGAATAATTACCGCGAATTAAATATAATTATTATTGTGCAAGTTGTTATTAATTATACGAATGAAAAAGATAAGATAAATGAGGATGTGGGTTTGTCAATAATTAATTAATTATATATTATAAATATCAAATATTAATTAATTATATACACACAAACACACACTT